TAAAAAAAATTAGATAGATAGACAATTTCTTGAAAATTGCACACAAAACTTGCATGAATTCAGATCAGCTCTCTCCTCTTGCCTACTCCCTCTACTTAGCATGAGAAGATGGGTAACTTTGTAAATAATTATTTTTAGAGGCCAGGCGCGGTGGCTCACGCCTGTAATCCTAGCACTCTGGGAGGCTGAGGCGGGCGGATTGTTTGAGCTCAGGAGTTCGAAACCAGCCTGAGCAAGAGCGAGACCCCGTCTCTACTAAAAATAGAAAGAAATTAATCGGACAACTAAAAATTAGCTGGGCATGGTGGCGCATGCCTGTAGTCCCAGCTACTCGGGAGGCTGAGGCAGGAGGATCGCTTGAGCCCAGGAGCGTAAGGTTGCTGTGAGCTAGGCTGATGCCACGGCACTCACTCTAGCCCGGGCAAAAGAGTGAGACTCTGCCTCAACAAAAAAAAATAAAATAAAATAATTATTTTTAGAGGTTAAATACTTCCCGAACAAATATGATAAAAATCAAAGGATATGTGGAAGTTGGAGTCTCCATATATAAATGATTTTTCCCCCTAAGGAAGCCGTGCATTGACAACCATGTTTCTCTCTGAAATGAATTTTTTTTGCCTAGAGTGTAATGGAACCTAAGGGAATAGAGTGGAGGAGAATCAGGAATCACGTCTGCCTGTCTCAGTAGCTGTGCTTGTCAGTTTCAGTTGGCCAGCCCATCACAGTGTAAGGAGAAATGGTGGCTCTCAGCCTAGAAAGCCGACTTTGGAATTTTCTGAACTCTGTGGCAGGGACATGCCTCCTTCCTGTGCCTCATGCAAGTTGGGCTGGTCAACCATAACTCCTAACAAGTTGAGCAAGCACTTTTTCACTCCTTATAAAGTTTGTGTGGCAAGGGATCCACAGTTCACATCCTGCTAAGTTTCAGTAGGGGTCTGACCCAGAATTCTGCTGTCACAATATCCCATTTACCTAGCTTTTTGGTGTGTGTCATCTGCATAGCGCATTCACTCCCATGATTTCCCTGCCACATTTTTATCCCCTTTGAAATGCCAGGAGCCCAGCATGTTGCCTATGGAAGATTCATTGAGATTTTACACATATTTTCATATGACATAACTGCCAAAATGAGAAAAATTGCTTTAACCAGCAAAGTAAAAAATACCACCTGATGTTTTGCACAGTAGGGATCCAAATATCAGCTTTTTCGTGGACAGTTGAATTTAAATGCTACACTTTTTGATTACACTATTAAAAATAATACAAGTACATGACAAATTTGGAAAATGGTCCATGATGCCATCACTGAAATACAACAATCCTTTTTTTCTAGTCTTTTTCCTAATTCCTATTTTTTACATAGCTATAACATGGTATAGTGCACATTTTATCCTATTTCTTTTCTGATTTGCATTCCCAATAATTTTTCCCCAGTGCTTCATAGCTATCATTTTTAATGTCTTCTAATACTCAACAGAATGGCTGTACCATTGTTTACTGATACCATGCCCTGTCGTAAGATATCTAGATTGTTTCCAATTCATTTTGTCATTATTATAGAAACCACTACAGGTACTAACTCTTGAAGCTGTTTGGTTTTTCTGTTGCCAGTATAAACCAAAGGTTCCAGGCACCAGTTGTCTAAACAATGTCTTGTCTCAGGAGCACATCTATTTCTGTTTCACTAATGTGACATCATAGCAGGATTAGAGTGACCAGTAATTGATTTTTTTTAATGGTTTTCTATCTTGTGACATCTCTCCTAGAGTTTAAGTTAAAGTTTAGAAAAGCCTTCAAAGCAGAAAACCACAGTACTTTCTCTCTTGATGTTTGTACAGCCTCATTTGCTTATGCCTACAATGTATGCTAGTGACAAAACTGAAGTAGAAATTGATTTTGAGTCTCTGGCCCTGTTGAAGTTGTACAAAGAGAAGCTTGAGAGAACCTCTGACTGTCCGTGATAAAGCTTCCTCTGGCATGTTGATGGAGAACTTGCACAGCTCTTTGCCCATGTACAGAAATTGTGTAAAGACTTTGGGATCATGTCTTGATAGGGATTGACATTTTAATGTCTGAGGTCAAGCAAAGGAAGGACCTGTGTCAGCTGCAGTTAACCTGACTCTTAGGAGCAGTCCCCACGTCACCCAGGGAAACACAATGAGATCGTAACTGGATATTTATAGAATCTGCTATAAGGATGGCATTGCTTTATCTTTAGAGAGAGCTAGTGAGCTGCAGGTGGCTAATGTCCATTTCTAGACAGATTGATCTAATAAAGATGCAGATTGTCCTGGATAGAAGGAGATGAATCTGAAGTTTGTGCACCAGTGGATGCAGTATTTCATGTTACAGCAGGACTGTTGTGTTACTGGGAAGAAAGAAGAATGAGTGAGCAAGTGCTGATTTTATTTTTTAAAACACTTTATAATGGCTCCTTAGCTCAAGCTCACAAAAGAAGCTTTAGAATTCCAGAGCAGTTTGAGTTTAAAAAAAAAAAAAAGGATAATAAAAGTTCCCCTCTCCATGCAGGGGGAAAGAATAGTGGCTTCTGAAACCAGAATTCTCACCTCTGCAACCTCGCCACAATTCATCATGTGTTCAGCATTCAAGGAAGAGGATGGGCTCTTTGGTCCTATGAGGAAACTAATGCCGCACTGGGTTACTGTGTTTGCTTTTCAGTTCTGAGAGAGTGAGATGAGTTGGGTGGTCTCGGCCTCGGTGCTCATTCATCCACACTGCTGAGCAACTGCACAATTGACTCGTTCCATAGCGGGGTGGTGGGCAGATTGAGGGCATTTACAAGGCAGTGTCATAGTCCTTTAAAAGCAGGTGTTGTTTTAGGTCAGACACACTAACAGAAAGATGGAGATGGGTGTTTGGAATAGAATCTGTATCTTGGTTTGCCTCTCCTGGAAGGAGGAGGCAGAGAGTGGCTCTTTTCTACCTATTAATTTAAACTCTGAGCCTAACCTAATGTCTACCAGCTGGGGGTGAAAATAAAGAAGGTAAAGAAATGGCTGTGATGACAATACTTTATCCATCTAAAGTATTATTTGATGCCTCCATCCACCCCTTCTTTAGAATGCATTTGAAGAGTTAATATATAGAAGATACTAGGCAAAAATCAGAATGATGGAGAATAAGGAACCTTCTGGGGGCAGAGGGAGCTTAAGTCCCTGAAACGTTAATTATAGACTCCAGCTGTGGGAGTGTTGAGGCTGCGGCCCATCACACTGCAGGGTCTGAAACCTGCAACGTGCAGTTCTGTAGGATCAGGTCTGAGGGGGGCCAGGAGATGGGAAGTGGGCCATGGGGGAACTGGTTTAGAATGTTACAGCACCTAGTTAATCGGCAGCCAGTCCATCACATTAAATATCCAGCCGTCATGTATTACCTTTCAAGTGAAAATGAATAACTCCCATTAAGAGCAAAATGGGTTTGAAGTCGATTCGAGACAGATTAAAGTACTGTTATGAATGTGTGTGTTGGGAGGAGGAGGGGCCTATGTGTAATATGCTTGTCCTTGTACATTTTAAATAATAGATGTCCTACAAACTTATGTAGACCAGGTTACCAAGATACTGGGGTTAAAGGTCACAAGATGTGCATTCTGGGAAGAGCATCAACTTCCTGGAATATTTCCTGCATTTGGCAATTTTTTTTTCAAAATTATATTGTGGCCTTATGATTTTGATGAATAAAATTGATTTTCTAAAATTGTTTATTAAAGTACACATCTGTAATGACAGCATCTTGGTGTCTATGTCAGAACAAATTTCAAAGCCAAGCATAAAGTAGAAATACATGCTAGATACCTAGACAGGGTGAGACAGAAAGCAGTTTTATCAAGGAGTAAAAATTAGGCTTTCTAGACCAGTAACCTAAATGTTGAGTCACATTATTTTTTGATGAGGGCAATGGGTGTATATTTTCTTACTATCATTTTCGTGATTTTTTTTTTAAATTGTCTTAAGGAAAATTCCAAAAAACAGAGTCCCACGTCCAAAACAAGTGAAAGAGCCGACTCCTGGATACTGACCAGGTTTTGAACAACCAGATTCAACCAGGTTGGCATTTGTGTTTACACTAGAGGAGTCCTGCTCATCCTAGTTAAACCCTTGGCCTAGCTGTTTTCTTATCAAAATCTTCCAGGTCCCTTACCTTGCTTTAGAGAACTCCTTCCACCAACACTTCTGTACCCACTGTTTGCTACTCAAGCCACGTGTGCCTCTCCTCATTAATTAGCATTTTGGGTTTTTTTGGTGATGTGGGCAAGAGGAGTGTGGAGGCATGGTTTGGGCAAGCAGATAAGAAACTTTCCCTCTTACCACCCACGCTGAATAAACTTTTGTGTCTCAAGCATTGGCTAGATTATAACTTGGATTCACGCTCTGCCTAGTTCCACTCAATTATTTCTTCCCCAAAAGCAAACTGCTGAACCCAAACTTGATTTTTTTCCTCACATAGCGGTATACAGATATCCATATGAACCTTTCTCGGATCACATTTATCGCATTGCCTGGGATGTGCCACGTTGTGATTCCAAGAGCTGGGATGATAAAGTTGGGAGCACATGGTTTCTTACATCTCTGAAGCAGAGCGTGTCTGGTACTCAGTTTGGCAAAGTAGTTGGTGAGACTTTCCCGCCCACCCTCAGCCCTACTGCCCCCCACGAGCCAGCAGCTTGTTTCTAGATCGGGGGAAGTTAGAACAGACTGAATTTAGCTTAATCCATCTCCAGAACCTTTTATTCCATTTCTTTGCCTTCTTTTCCTAATGTTCAGTTGTTAAAGTAGTGACAGAAATTCATGGGAGAAAAAGAAACACTTGCTTCTTTTCCAACATGCTTGATAAGTCAGTCCGGATGTTCATCCTTCTTGAATTTTGGTGTTTTAAGAAAATCCTGTGCTATAAATGAATGTTGAGTTTCACCCAACACAAACCCTCTGGGAGCTGGCCTGGTCTGGTTTCTGTATTGCATCTTCCACTTTTTCTTCTAGCTTCGTCCAGCCAAGCAGAGAAGGAGCTAACAGATTCTCCTGCAACCTCCAAACGCATCTCCTTCCCAAGTAGCTCAGAGTCTCCCCTCTCTTCAAAGCGACCAAAAACATCTGAGGAGATCAAGCCGGAGCAGGTGAGACTGGAAGGGGCTCTGCTCGTGGGGGGAGTGTTGTAGACATTGGTGGGGAGTGAACTTTTGAGTGGGTGGACTTGGGGCAGACACAGTTGCTGGTAGGAACTGAAGATTCAGCCAGAGTGGTGGGTGTGTTCCCCACAGATGTACCAGTGTCCCTACTGCAAGTACAGCAACGCTGACGTCAACCGGCTTCGGGTGCATGCCATGACACAGCACTCGGTGCAGCCCATGCTTCGCTGCCCCCTGTGCCAGGACATGCTCAACAACAAGATCCACCTCCAGCTACACCTCACCCACCTCCACAGCGTGGCACCTGACTGCGTGGAGAAGCTCATTATGACGGTAAGGCAGTCAGCAATAGGACCCTTTGTTTTTTCTTTTTCCAGGGGTCAAAGGTGACACAATAACACAGGCAGGATACTGTGTCATTGGACAAGAAAGCCGGTGTAGTGTTGGAAGTGTCAGAAAATCGTCCTCATTCTGTGACCTTTGTTCTACTGTACCTGCCTCAGACTTGGCATGACTATGGATGAAAGTGCTAAATATGTGTCCCCCAACTTTCCGTATGATCCTTTGTCCTTTCAGGAGACAGAGGCATGGATTAGCTAACCATTTATATGAAGAAATCATTATTCAGATTCTTCGAACCTTTATTGAGCAAGTCATGGTCTAGGTTGCTCTTACCTTCATTTACTTCTCATTTCATCCTCATAGTAATCCCTGTTTTTTTGTTGTTGTTTTTTTTTTTTTAAAAAAGAACTTTAAAAAAAAGGTTTGACACAGCCCCATTGACAGATAAGGAAACTGTGGCTCAACGGTGTTAAGTGACTTGATGCCATTTTTAAGTGGCAGAGTTGAGATTTGAACCCAGATTTTCCAACTCTAGGTGTAGGCCTGTAATGTTGGAGTTTCTGAAGTGGATACTTTTATTCTCAAAGGAGGAAAATGGTTAATCTGAGATAATATGTTGATTCATGAATGTGAGTTTTGCATTTGAACATGATGTTGCTACAACTGCAAGTTTTGAAAGCACGACTCTTAGTGGCCACTATAAATATGGCCCAAAAGGTTAGTATAAATATTTAAATCTAATCGTAATGTGAAAACTTTTCAAAGTACTACAGGTGGTAGTAATGTCCTGCTTTCAGCTATGCTGGGGCTGCTATGAAAGCCCTTTCCTGATCACTAGAGGAAAAGCCACCAAAGAGAATTATTCTTACCTCTAACTTAGCATTATTTCAACAGTGGAGTCATAAGAAGTTAATTTGATTACCTTTTCATGTGAAGCTTCCCAGAGAGGTAGTCTGTTCTGTTATAATGTGCAGGTCACAGACATATCACCTCTAGGCATTTCCTATTCCATCTGGTTATGCAAAATTAATGAATAATGTTGTAAGTAATGTTTAGTTGTGAGGAACATATAATTGATGATGCATCAAGAGAACTTTAGCAGCCAATGGGAAATTCAAAGGTGACCTAGCATGAGTTGCCTTTCCGAGATCTTTCAAGTACAAATTCACTTTCCATAGGTATTTTCGAATAGGCTGGGGAACATTGTGGAAAGATTGTTTGTAGGAAACCTCCTGTGGACAGGTGGGTTTGTGTGTTGCTGGTTTCCTCAGCATTCTCACCAGCCTTGGAGGTAACAGGGGGTTTTCCTGGGCCTCATCTTTCTTCCCAGCTGATGGCCTGGAGCCATGGGAGCCTGAAGGAACAGAAAGAGGTGTGGGGAGGGAAGTATTTTCATTACTTACTTATATGTCTTTTGCTCAGGTGATTTTTTTTGCTGTTTAATATAAATCTAGTCTAGGAACTGGGAGCCTATAGTAATCTGCACGACTGCTTTACATTAGACAATAGAAATTTTATTTCTACATCCCTAGGGACTAGAGTGTAAATTATATTTCAAATATCCATTGTTTGTCATATTTTTATAACAGCAGTAGTAAGGTACATTTCTGGTGGTCATTATGAATTGCCTTCATTTACCAAAGAGTCTTCAAGGGCAGGATATTACTGCTGTGTTTGCTGAGGTACCAATCCCTAAATTATTTTTGGAAGTTACCCACTAACCAGCACCTTTGTAAGCACTGATTCTCAACCTTTATGGAGACTCTGGTGAAAGCTGTACAACAGCCATACTGGGCTATTCTGTGCACACTGAAGTTTGATAACCACTGTCATAGACCCTCCAAGTAGTCCACAAATACAAAATTGTATGTACAATGCCAGGGAGCATAAGGAATATCGTATCTGTGGAACTGGTTAATAACTCTCTTCTAGAACCCCTGCTAACATAATTATGTAGGAGAAGCTACTCCCTAAAGGAGCTGTGTTTGGCACCTTGTATAGAAACCCCTGTGGGCCTCATCTTTCCACAGCAGACAATGGAGGTGTTTTCTAGACATTTCTGAGAAGTGTGCAAATTGTGGGAAATGTGTAGGAAGTCGATTTGGTAGCAGCAAGAGACAGTTAATGGATTCCGAAATGAAACACAGTTGTGGGAAGGGTTTACTCTTTATTTAAAGGTGTATGTGTAAGGATGATTTTGTACTGTCTCTTTCCATGGGCAGATGGAGTTACGGCATGGCCGTCAGTATCGAGTTGGTTTTTCCAATCATGAGGATGGCTTGCATTGAGCCAAATGATGTGTTTCTACCTTAATCCTTTAGTTCAGCAAGAAAAGATGATCAACCAGGCTTAGAGGGAATTTATGGCCATACCACAGGGTGAACCCAGAATCCTGTTTGAGGACTGAAATACTGATCTTGGTCTCTGCCCTGATGAATCAAAACAGATGCCAATGTCCTTCCTCCTACAGTTTGGTGTTAAAATGGAATTTATAATTATTTTATAACTAAGTGATTGTAATGAACCTGTGGTTAAAATCATGCCCCTAGAGGATATTTTACTGTAATTTTACTAGAAAATTGGCCCCTGAGAAAGTATTGGTTAGGCTTTCTGATGATGTATCTGTTTGTTTATGGCCAATCAGAGCCGGAAGCTGAAAACGGCACGATGAGGAATGCTTCTCAAATCAGAGCTCCATTTTCTAAAACCGTATCATTAAGGAATGGCCAGTTCTGTGGTCATTCATCCTGCAAGAGAAAGTTACGTCTGCTTTGTCCCTGAGTGACTAGGATGAATGGCAGCAAGAGGAGTGAATCTTCTTTCTTGCCCAGTGGGTTGGCTGAGTTAGCTTCTGTTGGCTGTGGAATAGGAAAAGCTGGCAAAATCACCCAAATAGATGATTCCTGGCAGACGTGAGGTATGTCCAGGGTATCTACAGCTGTAGATTCTGGTAAATATTTTTTGATGTCTGGGTCCAAAGTCTCAGCATCTAGCTTGAATTTGGTTTCAGTCCCACTAAAAGTAAATTCCACCCTGATAAATAGAAATAGATTACTTTCTACACAATGTCTTTCTGTTCAGTTGTAAACGGAGAGCGTTTTGAGGAGGCTTCATTTAATAATACCTTATCAGACAGCTTTCAGGAACCTGCAGTGTCTAATATGTCTGTTGCTATGGTAACAGCTGCTTGCTTATGCTCTGCATCTCATATCTATGTCTTCCATGGGCCCCCTTCTTTTTACTGATGAGGGGGCTTGAGAAATATTCTCCACTAGGAATAATTGCAGTGCTGGCCCTCCCTATGGAAACTGCACCCAGCACTTCATTCTACTCAGCCTATTGGAAACAGAACACCATAGGGTGTCTTTGAACATGTCATATGAAAGAAGAAAATCTATAAAACTTAAGGTATATGAGACAAGTGCCCCTCCATACTTGGTTGGGCAGACTGCCCCCAATGTCAGTTTCACCTAACAAAGTCTCACCTATTTACAGAGAAGCTGGAGATTTCAGATGGGTGGAAGGAATGTAGGAGCACTTGCTCTGTGCCTTATTTTCCTAATCTCTCCGGGAAGGAAGGTTGAGGGCATGGGGCCCCTGTTTCTGGCCCCTGCATGAGAATAGGAGAGACCACCTACCATGCATTTCAATACTCTTAAATTATTCTAATTGATCACTATCTTTCTAAGTGACAGGACACACCACTGGGATCTTGAAGCACTAATACGGGGAAATTTTCTTTGTTCCTTAATCGCTTAACAAAATATGACCTCAAAGTGAGATGGGGATTGGCTCCTGAGCAGCCTGGGAACACCATTTTCTCTAGCCCTTTCTTTTCTCCCCTCGGTTGTTCCTAATTATTCTGTAGGTTTTGTACATGCACAGATTTTCCTTCCATGCTCCTGGCCCTGCACTGCCTGCAGTTCTCTCTCTGTCTTTTGGGAGCAGTAGTCTGTGATTTTTCAGTCAGTGACTGTGACTCTTCTGTACTCCGTGTGTGCCTATGTGTCTGTGAGTCTCTGGGACAGGCTGGTCATCTGGCCCCCCCAACACGGGGGCTCTCAGGTGGCCACTGGCCTCAGGGCTGTAGCACCCACCTGGGTATCAGCTCTCTTACTTTGTCTCCATCTCAGAGGAAGGTAATGAAAATAATCGGGCTTCATTAATTCCAAGCCCTGTGAGATGATAGCCATTTGGAGCCTGTTTGCCAATTAGATGGTCTAAATTAGGAGTGACCTTGGTATACTGCCACTGCTTGCCTCTCTGAGTCTAATGAAGCTTTTCTCTCCAATTCATTCTCTTTCTCAGCTCTCTTCTCTGTGTGTGCGTGTGTGTGTGTATAACTGTTCATGTGTTTTCTGTTCTCTCACCCACCTTCTTTTTCTTTCTTCTCAGTTTTTAAAATCTGGTTCTGGGCTACATTTGTTTTTGGCCCAAAAAAATGTTAACATGGCCCTGCAGTTTTTTTGTGTGTGTTTTATGTATTAAAAAATCGAATAAACGACCACACAGAAGCTGTTTTAAAAAGGAAATGAGACAAAGAGAGAAACTAGGCCTTCTAAGACCCCATGGTTCAGTGCTCTGCCTGGCACATTTAGAAGGCAGTAAAGGAAAAAAGGCAAAACAAAACTCTCAAGCTCTGCTGCCAAGAAGTGCCCTGGTTTATTGGCTGGAGATGTGCAGAAACTTAGTGGGCCCCAGCAGCTGTCTAGGTATAGGGGAGGAGCTGAGCACTGGACTCTCCCTGGAGCAGACTGCTCAGCCCTAAAGCGGCTGGGTTTTAACCTCATGCTCAAATGTTTTGGTCAGAACCAGTACCTCATTCACAAGGATGTGTAGCCTGGCTAGGTCTATGTCAAGGAGGTCTGTGCTTGAGGTCTCCTTTCCTTTTCTCTGTCTGAGGTTCTTCATTCTACTGACTTTCACTGAAATGTGAAGGATTAAAGGCTTCCTTGGGAGTCCAGGTCTTGGCAAATTGACACTTTCACTTGGAAAAGCAGGCTTTTCAGAAAGAAGCCCTACTTACATGAGCAGTACCAAGACTGTAGGGATAAGAGTCTCAAAGAAAACAGGTTCAACACTTTTTCCAAGAAAATATCTCTGATTTCCAGCACATGGAATGTGTTGGTTGCATTGATCTAACCCAGGTCAGCCTGTCTGAAGGTAGCCTCCAGAGGTGAATTTCCATGAACCTTAAGAACTTGGTAAAGTGTAACCTTGGCTGCACAGGGTGTTGTATTTGGCCATTCCACACCTGTGACCTGCAGGGGTGGGGGGTGGGAGGGTGTTCCTTGTAATTCCAGCTTCTACCAAGAAAGAATCAATATCAGCCCCTCCCAAATGTTACGGTGGGGACCAGTCCCACATCTCATACTCCAGGCTCTAAAAGGTATGTCCTTGGGGCTTTAGGTCCACTCGCCTTGTGGAATATTGAAAGGCATTAATGATAATGCAAAATGATAAGCAAGCCAGGAGGAGGTTGGAACTGGGCATTTATGAACCTGTGTCATTCTCTGAGTAGATCAAGGCAGTTCACTTGACTCTATGAATTTCCTTCTGGGGAGCCTGTGATTTCATGAAATTATCTGCAGTATACTATCTGTGAAAGTATTTTTCTAGGAGTCTGCACCTCTCTCCAGATTTTCTAAGGCATTTATGACCTCTGAAAGGTTAATTATTCTGGATTGTGAGCGTTTTGGGGACAGGCACCTTGTCTTGCTCTCTGCAGTTCACAGGTATGCAGCATGAGGACCCTGTACGATGTTTGTTAGTAAATGGTGGTCAGATGAATAGATGAGCAAAGGTCACTCAGGGCCATTCCTTCTCAATAACTGAGTTGTTTTGGAATTGCTTAAGGCTGAAAATGTTTAGCATCAGTGTGGAACTCTTCTATTGTTACATATGAGAACTGCTTATATTGGAAGAGTTGCAGCATTGGAGTAGAACTCCACATTTCTCTTGTTATATGCAAGACCTGTTTACGTGTTAGGAAGATGGGAGAGCCACTGTTTGTTTCCAAACTTTCAGTTCCCCAGCTCAGCTGATAGTTTCTTCCTGCATTTCCATCAACTGTGCATACTCTAGGAGGAAGTAGTTGACTTGGCTCAACAAGGTACAAGGAAAACGTGGTATCTAGAAGATTACCATGGAAGTACCCTTTGCATGGCCCAGCTGAATCTTGAGAGACCCAAATGTCAAGGAAGTAATGGTTCTAATCAGTTGAATTTTCTTAACCAGAAAAACCTTGTTTTACTTTTTGTTAAAAATTTGTTTTAATAGGCTTTTAATTCTTAGCTCCATTAGTGAGTAGTGTGTGTGGGACATAATTTATTATGTTAAATGTTTACCAGTGTACAGATTAGTAGAAGAATCAATCGACATGGGCGGTACACTCAGTGTACAAAGTGTAGGTGTTTGGGCTGATTGTGTATTATCAGCTGGTCAAATATCAGAACATTTTCGGTTTGGATTTTGAGTCCATGGCTAGGGGTATGGATGGGGTAGGAAGGCGGGCAGGCGGAAAGAGGAAGAGGAGGGAGAGAGAGCAAGCACGTATTTTGGCTATGTAGGGAAGTTGGTGGTAGGACCAGTTATTTGAGGGCCTCCAAAGTCTGGGCACACTTGGAATGGCCCTGGTTATGCTGTCACCAGATTTTGTTCTCTCCTAACTGTGTGCGGATACTCCTGGCAAAAAGGGAAGGCCTTCGCAGAAACGTGCTCAGCGCAGTTACTAACATCCCCACTTTCAACTGTCCATCAGAGACAATGGCTGAGGCAGTCTGAATCCCATTCAGTTTGGTAGTCAGATATGATGGGAAAATAAAGGGGGTGCCAAGGCAAGTATTGAAGGAAATCTGCAATACATCTCCCCAATGGGCAGAAGGACTCCTCGGTGAGCTCTTTTGGCAGCATTATCTTTATGGCTCTTTAAGACAAAGCATGCAAGCTTTGAGTGAAACGCTTTGGAAGCTGGTAGGAGAGAGAGGAATGAGCATTAGCATCTGAGAACTGATATGGGGCCCTCTAGTAGCTGTGCAGCAAGGCAGCTTCCATCCTCAACCTCTGTTCAGACATGTGCATATACACCCCACCAGAATTTACAGATCTTTAGGATTCTCTTAGGGATCTTCCTCTTTGCCTCCTGGGGATTTCTTGCCCGTTAAAATTTCAGATAGCAAACCATTTATTTTCCCAGGGAGAGGTTGGGAATACTACAGATGAGAAGATGCAGGTAGATAAAAGTAGTTACTTAAACACATATGGGGCAAGACTTACAGGTTTGGAGAACTAGATTAAGATGCAGAGGAGCATGTGAGGTTGATGATTATATTTCGGGGAGAGTTAATTGATGGAAGGTGAAGGCAGACAAAGAACCGCTGCTTACTGCCTTCTTGAATCCCAATCAGGAATTATGATTAAAGTCGCAGCGAGACAACAGAGGGCTGATGAATTGGTGTCTTTTTTTTTTTCTTTTTTGCCGTCATTCACACTTGATTGACTTCAACCTTTCAAGTGCAAAAGTCTCTCTTTTCCATTATTATTCATAGCCATCTGAGTTTTTCTAATTAAAGTGTATGAAAACAATTACTGATCCGTCGTACTGAGTCTGTTAGAGGGGATGTCTGCCTTACTGTAATGCGTATAAAAAGCCCACAGTTTTCTATAATGATGTGCAGCTGAGGTGTTAGATAATTTTATTCTTTTTTACTCTGTAGGGCTTTTTTTTTATTTCTCATGATTCATTTTTCATAATTCCTAAAGATCCCAGGAAAGGACTGATCCTGCAGCTACAACCGAGAAAGGAGGTGGGGGGGAGTCTTTTTTCCTTTCCCTTTCTCCCCCTTTTACCCCCAACCTCGTGCCCCCCCTTGGCTGAGGACTATAAATTAATCGGTGACCTTTCACTTCTTGGATTCCCGCTGGACTCCCCAACCACACTGGTCAGAAATGCTTTCCATTAAAAAGAAAATAGATGGAATGAGTTTGGCAATCTGTACTCCATTCCTAACGACTCAGCAGCAGCTAGCCTTAACCAGCTGCCGATGAGCTGTGTGTGAGCGTGCAGCTGTCTGTGGGAGCAAGAATGCCGTGTCACACGTTCACCTGCCATGCACCTGCTCTTCGTAAACACAGGGTTTCTCAGAACGCTTCGCTGTAGTGCCTGTTGCTTAATTTTCACAGCCATTGGCATGTGGGTTGCTGAAATGATTCTGATACCCCTAAATGTGAATGGGGAAAGACAGACATGGGGGCAGTTTTCTCGGTTTCCTCTAGTTGTTGGGCCTATTGCTGCTGATTCTACTGGACATGTCAGCAGCCACATTGAGCAAGGCCAGGATCCTCAAATCGTTACAAATAGTAATTTATTAAAAATATTATGTAATTTTGGACAGAAATCTAGGTGTTCCGATCTTTGCAGCAGAGTAGTATTACAGTAAAGTCATGACTGATGGCAAAATAATGTCTCCAAGTGGGGCTGGGCACCATGTAGAAAGGTTGGTGGTGATGGCAGTTTCTGTTCTTGTAACCTGTAGGTCAGTCCCTTTCTCAGGCTGTCATCAAATGGGGGACGATTTCTAATTCATTTGAAGATACCATTGCCATATAGCCTTCCCATCCTATCGCTGGGATAGGGATACGGCTTCTTTTTAAATGAAGAACCTTTTGTCCTTACACTGCTTATCACATTAACATAGGGCAAATGATAACATGTTTAGACAAGCTTCTGGCCATATTGGCAGGGAAGCCTAGAGAAATGTCTAAAAATGTCTAAGGATCCGACCTAAAATTGTAGCTATTCGGATCCAGGCTAATTCTGGAATCGCTACACCAGAACATTGGCTGTGGTCAAGGTGGGGCTGCCCTGTTGCAGAACGCTGTGCAGGCCACCCTCTATGGTTGGGACACTGGTCGGAGTTGCCCTCTGATGTTGTATACCACACGCAAAGACTCCAGAAGAAATCCTGGCTTAAGTGAGTCACAAGAAATGCTTGATGTCAGCTTAGAAAGGGTTACAAAATGTTGTTTCCTGGAATATATGCCAATGTGACTGCGTGTCCTTAGCCTTCCCTTTGTTCTGTTCTCTTCTTCTTACCCTTTCCTTCACTCTTCCCTCCTCCTCTTGCCTGAAAACAGTACTACAATGCTCCCTGCTTCAAGATTACAGTGTACTTTACTAGGTATGATTTAATTAGGGCCCTTATTATGTTTTCAGCAGCTTAAGGTGGGCCTTTCAACTTATCTACCTAATTGGTTGCACAAGAAGTTTCACAGCCCATGACAAAACATTGTCAGTGATCAAAGTCAAAATTCTGCATAAAGGAAAAATATTAATAATAAGATTATTCTTCAAGTGTGCACTGCTAATTATGTCCAGAATGTAACCGTAGAAACACTTTTGACTGATGTGAGCTTTGTCTAATAAACATGAATCTTCAGTGAGCTATGAAAAGTGACACCTACAGCTTTACACTGGTGAAGGCTAATTTTGCTTATTAAATAATTTTTAAACATTTCCTATTTTGTGTCTTTCCTCTCCATTTGACACTCCTTGTTTCTCTGCCTCTCACTCCTCAGGTGACCACCCCTGAGATGGTGATGCCCAGCAGCATGTTCCTGCCAGCAGCTGTTCCAGATCGAGATGGGAATTCCCATTTGGAAGAGGGAGGAAAGCAGCCTGGTTAGTATCATTAGTTCAGATTCCCTAGGAATTGAATCACGATGAAATCTTGGGCCCAAATTTTTGTAGAGCAGGGGTTCCAGGAATTCTTTACAATACTCTTAAATCTGAATATAACTGATCAGGAGATGAGGGGTGCTGTCATCAGCTGCTTTATACTCTGGTTCTTGGCATGTATTTGGATATTATTCCTGTGGTTTAAAGTGAGAGAAAATCTGTATGAGAGCCAGTAGAATTTTAGTGTGGACTCACATGTCTGCATAGTGTATACAATTAGGGAGTGAACACTCAGACCCACCATGCTAAGCCATTAAAACACTGTATCTGTGAGGACTTCTTAATCATTAGGGACTTGGGGAACATGTGGTTAATTTTTAAGGACACTGGATTAGTTGTCTTTTGAGGAGCTGCTTTTGCACAGCATTTGTCTCTGAGTCTTCTGAGATTGGCTTAGGTGGAGCATAGAGGTGCATTTGGAAGAAAGAACATGATTTTAGACGGGTGTGCTGCAGGTGTTGGTGCCACATAGTGGTTCCTAGCTAGATGGGTCACTGGACCTCTGTGAGGCGTCCTATGTCTTTCACCTCTTACAAACACCTCAGATGTAATTTGGGAAGAGTTCTGCCCCACTACTGCCTAGCCTCCTCCCTTGCGATTTTTCCATATGAGGCAGCGGACAAATGATCGGAAAAAGGGTCAGAGTATTTTTTTTTTTTGAGACAGAGTCTCACTCTTTTTGCCCGGGCTAGAGGGCCGTGGCATCATCCTAGCTCACAGCAACCTCACACTCCTGGGCTCAAGCGATCCTTCTGCCTCAGCCTCCCAAGTAGCTGGGACTACAGGCATGCACCACCATGCCTGGCTAATTTTGTCTATATATTTTTAGTAGAGACAGGGTCTCGCTCTGGTTTTGAACTGCTGAGCTCAAACAATCCTCCCGCTTCGGCCTCCCAGAGTGCTAGGATTACAGGCGTGAGCCACCACGCCCGGCCCAATTTTGAGTGTATTTTAATACTTGGCCACTTGAATGTTTGTTGCTTATTGAATAAAGATGGCAGTCAGGAGTCATACTACAACAAGAAACTAAAATGCTTAACATATATATATTCCACAATTTCTAACAATAGATGACAGTTCTTATAAATTGCCTACAACTTAGGGCAGCATTAATTCACATATTCTACACTTCAGATCCACTGTGCTAAATTCTTATTACATAAAAGATGAACATTAAAGGGGAATCCAGTCTAAGATCAGTAACCTTCAAACCAGTTCTTGAGAACTTGAGGGTTCTGAGTCAAGCAATTAAATACTATTTAAAAGACTGTTAGATCTGTGATGTGACACGGGTCTGTTATGAATTAAAACTTTTTGTATTTCCAATATGTACTCTCTTGGGGGAACAAAAGAAAGCAGGAGACTCTGCAGAGATTCTGTCATTCAGGTTGGGCACTTCCCTCATCATCAGATGCTGTGTTTGTGAGGACTAGCTAGGTAGACTATTCTGGGTGCCATCCTTGAAACAAAGCCTTCTTTATCTTTGGGTTTGATTTTTTTTTTTTTTTACAGAAACCTCAGAGGATCTGGGAAAGAATATCTTGCCATCTGCAAGCACCGAGCACAGCGGAGATTTGAAACCCTCTCCCGCTGACCCCGGCTCTGTGAGGGAAGACTCAGGCTTCCTCTGCTGGAAGAAGGGGTGCAACCAGGTTTTCAAAACTTCTGCTGCCCTTCAGACTCATTTCAATGAGGTGCATGCCAAGAGGCCTCAGCTGCCTGTGTCGGATCGCCATGTGTACAAGTACCGCTGCAACCAGTGCAGCCTGGCCTTCAAGACCATCGAAAAGCTGCAGCTTCATTCTCAGTACCACGTGATCAGAGCTGCCACTATGTGCTGTCTTTGTCAGCGCAGTTTCCGAACTTTCCAGGCTCTGAAAAAACACCTCGAGACGAGCCACCTGGAGTTGAGTGAGGCCGACATCCAGCAGCTTTATGGTGGCCTTCTGGCCAATGGAGACCTCCTGGCGATGGGAGACCCCACCTTGGCTGAGGACCACACCATCATCGTTGAGGAAGACAAGGAGGAAGAGAGTGACTTGGAAGATAAACAGAGCCCAACAGGCAGTGACTCTGGGTCAGTACAAGAAGACTCAGGCTCAGAGCCAAAGAGAGCACTACCTTTCAGGAAAGGCCCCAATTTCACCATGGAAAAATTTCTAGACCCTTCTCGCCCTTACAAGTGTACCGTCTGCAAGGAATCTTTCACTCAAAAAAATATCCTGCTAGTGCACTATAATTCTGTCTCCCACTTGCATAAGTTAAAGAGGGCCCTTCAAGAATCAGCAACTGGTCAGCCAGAACCCACCAGCAGCCCAGACAACAAACCTTTTAAGTGTAACACTTGTAACGTGGCCTATAGCCAGAGTTCCACTCTGGAGATCCACATGAGGTCTGTGTTGCATCAAACCAAGGCCCGGGCAGCCAAGCTGGAGGCTGCAAGTGGCAGTAGCAATGGGACCGGGAACAGCAGCGGTATCTCCCTGAGCTCCTCCACACCAAGTCCTGTGAGCACCAGTGGCAGTAACACCTTCACCACCACCAATCCAAGCAGTGCTGGCATGGCTCCGAGCTCCAGCTTACTGAGCCAAGTGCCCACTGAAAGTGTGGGGATGCCACCCCTGGGGAATCCCATCAGTGCCACCATTGCTTCTCCTTCAGAGCCCAAGGAGGCCAATCGGAAGAAACTGGCAGATATGATTGCATCTAGGCAGCAGCAGCAGCAGCAGCAGCAAGCACAGACTTTGGCCCAAGCCCAGGCTCAAGTTCAAGCTCACTTGCAGCAGGAGCTACAGCAGCAGGCTGCGCTGATCCAGTCTCAGCTCTTTAACCCCACCCTTCTTCCTCACTTCCCCATGACCACCGAGACCCTGCTGCAGCTGCAACAGCAGCAGCATCTCCTCTTCCCTTTCTACATCCCCAGTGCTGAGTTCCAACTCAACCCTGAGGTGAGCTTGCCCGTGACCAGTGGGGCACTGACGCTGACTGGGACGGGCCCTGGCCTGCTGGAAGATCTGAAGGCTCAGGTTCAGATCCCACAGCAGAGCCACCAACAGATCCTGCAACAGCAGCAGCAGCAGCAAAGCCAGCTCTCTCTATCCCAGAGTCACTCTGCCCTGCTTCAGCCAAGCCAGCACCCTGAAAAGAAAACCAAATCGGTCATCAAAGAAAAGGAAAAAGAAAGCCAGCGAGAGAGAGACAGTGCCGAGGTGGGAGAGGGCAACCTAGGACCAAAGGAATCGCTGCCAGATGCCTTGAAGGCCAAAGAGAAGAAAGACTTGGCACCAGGGGGTAGTTCTGAGCCTTCCATGCTTCCTCCACGCATCGCCTCGGATGCCAGAGGGAACGCCACCAAGGCCTTGCTGGAGAACTTTGGCTTTGAGCTGGTCATTCAGTATAATGAGAACAAGCAGAAGGTGCAGAAAAAGAATGGGAAGACTGAGCAGGGAGAGAACCTGGAAAAGCTGGAGTGTGACTCCTGTGGCAAGTTGTTTTCCAACATCTTGATTTTAAAGAGTCATCAAGAGCACGTTCATCAGAATTACTTTCCCTTCAAACAGCTCGAGAGGTTTGCCAAACAGTACAGAGAGCACTATGATAAACTGTACCCCCTGAGGCCCCAGACCCCAGACCCACCGCCCCCTCCTCCTCCACCCCCACCTCCTGCCCTCCCTGCAGCCCCGCCTCAGCCGGTGTCCACCCCAGCCATTCCTGCCTCAGCCCCACCCATCACTTCTCCTACGATTGCACCGGCCCAGCCATCAGTGCCGCTCACCCAGCTCTCCATGCCCATGGAACTGCCCATCTTCTCGCCGCTGATGATGCAGACCATGCCGTTGCAGACCTTGCCAGCTCAGCTGCCCCCTCAGCTTGGACCTGTGGAGCCTCTGCCTGCAGACCTGGCCCAGCTGTACCAGCATCAGCTCAATCCGACCCTGCTCCAGCAGCAGAACAAGAGGCCTCGCACGAGGATCACAGATGACCAGCTCCGAGTCCTGCGGCAGTATTTTGACATTAACAACTCCCCCAGTGAAGAGCAAATCAAAGAGATGGCAGACAAGTCTGGGTTGCCTCAGAAAGTGATCAAGCACTGGTTCAGGAACACACTCTTCAAAGAGCGGCAGCGTAACAAGGACTCCCCTTACAACTTCAGTAATCCTCCCATCACCAGCCTGGAGGAGCTCAAGATCGACTCCCGGCCCCCTTCGCCGGAACCTCAGAAGCAGGAATACTGGGGAAGCAAGAGGTCTTCAAGAACGAGGTTTACCGACTACCAGCTGAGGGTCTTGCAGGACTTCTTTGATGCCAATGCTTACCCGAAGGATGATGAATTTGAGCAACTCTCTAATTTACTGAACCTTCCAACCCGAGTCATAGTGGTGTGGTTTCAGAATGCCCGACAGAAGGCCAGGAAAAATTACGAGAATCAGGGCGAGGGCAAAGATGGAGAGCGGCGTGAGCTTACAAATGATAGATACATTCGAACGAGCAACTTGAACTACCAGTGCAAAAAATGCAGCCTGGTCTTTCAGCGCATCTTTGATCTTATCAAGCACCAGAAGAAGCTGTGTTACAAGGATGAGGATGAGGACGGGCAGGATGACAGCCAAAATGAGGATTCCATGGATGCTATGGAAATCCTGACGCCCACCAGCTCCTCCTGCAGCACCCCGATGCCCTCACAGGCTTACAGCGCCCCAGCACCACCAGCCAATAATACAGCTTCCTCCGCTTTCTTGCAGCTCACGGCGGAGGCTGACGAACTGGCCACTTTCAATTCAAAAACGGAGGCGAGTGACGAGAAACCAAAGCTGGCTGACCCTCCCAATGCACAGCCAAACCAAACCCAAGAAAAGCAAGGACAACCAAAGCCAGAGCTGCAGCAGCAAGACCAGCCCGAGCAGAAGACCAGCGCACCCCAGCAGAAGCTCCCACAGCTGGTTTCCCCGCCTTCCTTGCCACAGCCGCCTCCTCAAGCCCCGCCTCCTCAGTGTCCCTTACCCCAGTCGAGCCCCAGCCCTTCCCAGCTCTCCCACCTGCCCCTCAAGCCCCTCCACACATCCACTCCTCAGCAGTTGGCAAACCTACCTCCTCAGCTAATCCCCTACCAGTGTGACCAGTGTAAGTTGGCGTTTCCATCGTTTGAACACTGGCAGGAGCATCAGCAACTCCACTTCCTGAGTGCGCAGAACCAGTTCATCCACCCCCAGTTTCTGGAAAGGTCACTGGATATGCCTTTCATGCTGTTCGATCCCAGTAACCCACTCCTCGCCAGCCAGCTACTCTCTGGGGCCATCCCTCAGATTCCAGCCAGCTCAGCCACTTCTCCGTCAACTCCAACCTCCACGATGAACACCCTGAAGAGGAAGCTGGAGGAAAAGGCCAGCGCAAGCCCTGGCGAAAATGACAGCGGGACGGGAGGAGAAGAGCCTCAGAGAGACAAGCGCTTGAGGACAACTATTACTCCGGAACAACTTGAAATTCTCTACCAAAAGTATCTACTTGACTCCAATCCAACTCGAAAGATGCTGGATCACATCGCGCACGAGGTGGGCTTGAAGAAACGTGTGGTGCAAGTCTGGTTTCAGAACACCCGAGCTCGGGAAAGGAAAGGACAGTTCCGGGCTGTGGGCCCGGCGCAGGCCCACAGAAGATGCCCTTTTTGCAGAGCACTCTTCAAAGCCAAGACTGCCCTTGAGGCTCACATCCGGTCCCGTCACTGGCATGAAGCAAAGAGAGCTGGCTACAACCTAACTCTGTCTGCGATGCTCTTAGACTGCGACGGGGGACTCCAGATGAAAGGAGATATTTTTGATGGAACTAGCTTTTCCCACCTACCCCCGAGCAGTAGTGATGGTCAGGGTGTCCCCCTCTCACCTGTGAGTAAAACCATGGAGTTGTCTCCCAGAACTCTTCTGAGCCCTTCCTCCATCAAGGTGGAAGGGATTGAAGACTTTGAAAGTCCCTCCATGTCCTCAGTTAATCTAAACTTTGACCAAACGAAGCTGGACAACGACGACTGTTCCTCCGTCAACACGGCAATCACAGACACCACAACTGGAGATGAGGGCAATGCAGACAATGACAGTGCGACGGGAATAGCAACTGAAACCAAATCCTCCTCTGCACCCAGCGAAGGGCTGACCAAAGCGGCCATGATGGCGATGTCCGAGTATGAAGATCGGTTGTCATCTGGTCTGGTCAGCCCAGCCCCGAGCTTTTATAGCAAGGAATATGACAATGAAGGTACAGTGGACTACAGTGAAACCTCAAGCCTTGCAGACCCCTGCTCCCCGAGTCCTGGTGCAAGTGGATCTGCAGGCAAATCCGCTGACAGCGGGGATCGGCCTGGGCAGAAACGTTTTCGCACTCAGATGACCAATCTGCAGCTGAAGGTCCTCAAGTCATGCTTTAATGACTATAGGACGCCCACTATGCTAGAGTGTGAGGTCCTGGGAAATGACATTGGACTGCCAAAGAGAGTTGTTCAGGTCTGGTTCCAGAACGCCCGAGCAAAAGAAAAGAAGTCCAAGTTAAGCATGGCCAAGCATTTTGGTATAAACCAAACGAGTTATGAGGGACCCAAAACAGAGTGCACTTTGTGTGGCATCAAGTACAGCGCTCGGTTGTCTGTACGTGACCATATCTTTTCCCAACAGCATATCTCCAAAGTTAAAGATACCATTGGAAGCCAGTTGGACAAGGAGAAAGAATACTTTGACCCAGCCACTGTACGTCAGTTGATGGCTCAACAAGAGTTGGACCGGATTAAAAAGGCCAATGAGGTCCTTGGACTGGCAGCTCAGCAGCAAGGGATGTTTGACAACACCCCTCTTCAGGCCCTTAACCTTCCTACAGCATATCCAGCGCTCCAGGGTATTCCTCCCGTGTTGCTCCCTGGCCTCAACAGCCCCTCTTTGCCAGGCTTTACTCCATCCAACACAGGTGGGTTCTGCTCTAGGTGATTCTTTCCAGGGTTAAATAGCTGCCCAGCTAGTATTTTGTTACAGGGCTACCATCCAAACCCTCTGAGTGCTGGGCATAGAGGAGTCTTCCCCTTTGTTGAGTCTCCCTAGTGCTGCTATGTACATGGTTCTTTGCCTTCCTAGTTCAGGGATGGGACCTCCTGGTTGGAACAGTTTCTTCTGAAGCCACTCTTCTGCCCTATCTTCAGTAGCACAACCAGGGTGTGTACTACAGGGAAGAACTTCCGGGCCTGGTGTGGAAGTGCTTATGTGGTAGATCTGTACTGCTGGGGTTCTCTTCTAGCCAGAACAACAGTGGCTGTGTTGGTTTCTACCAAGACTGCCTTTCCACTTGAAGGCACTGACCAGGAATCTTGTATTAGGCAATGTGTTTCTGGTAGTCCTTCAGGCCAAAATACTAATGCTTATTTTAGGGGTCCTCAGCCACCCCTTCATTTCCTCTTGCCCATCTCCCTTTCCTCACCCCTCCCATTTAGAATCGTATATACCCAGTACTCTTCTATTCTCACTTCATAGGGAGTTATAGCAATTCTTCCTGTGTACCTCTCTCATTTCTCCTTCTGTGTTCTCACCCATCTTCTCTGGATCCAGCCATCTTTCCTAAATTGGACCTTAACCTCCAGGGTCCCGTGCGGCTTAGTCGGCAGGTGCCCCCCATGGCCTGCATTAACCAGCAGAGAGCCCCTCAGAGAGCCTCCTTGCCTTCAAAATTTGTCCTTGTTCCCAGGGGTTGAAGCAGCAGCGCTGCTTCCCAGAGCAGTCCTAGTTTCCAGTTGAATTAATTCCATGTTTTACAGTTTTCATGGTGGTTCATAGAACATGAGGCTACTGCATTCCTGGTCCCAGTTTCTTATTCAAAGGGAAGAAGAAAAAGAAGTGCATTAAGACATAGAAGTTGTTGCTTATATGTGTTGACAAGTAATGTCACAAAATGATGCAAAAGCCAGCTAGACATAATCCAGGAAACATACTATGGAAAGTGGCCAGGCACTGAATTATCCTTGAAGCCCAGGACCTTGGCAGAGGGGCTTGGGAAGGCCCAACGTATCATAATGATGTGAAAAAAGTAGAATCAGAATGTCTGATCTATTCCCCTTGTTTTACAGATGAGAAAACTGAGGCCCAGAGAGGTCAAGACCATTCAACAAGCTAGGGTAGGAGCCAGAGCTCCCACCCAGGCCTCCGGGCTCCCAGTGCTATGTGCTTCTTCCACAGCACCCAAAATGAGCCAGTCAGTCAACAGGTATATGTTTAGTGCTACTCAGGTTCTGACCACTTAAAGTGGACTTAAGATAGAAAGGAATGCTTTTAATTATCCAAGGCAGCCAGACGTGTCCCAGTTACCATCACCTGACTGTACCACAGCTCTCAAGAGCACTGGATCTGGAAGGGGAGGGAAGGAACTTGTACTTGTTAAGCATCAATTACATGTCAGGCCCAATGCTAAGCTCTTTCCATATGGTCTTTCATTTTATCCTTACAACCATCTATTGTGGAAAGCTGAGGTTCCAAGAGGTCAATTAATGGGCTCAAAGTTATATACCTCATGTGTGTCGGCCATAATCCACACAGGGTCAGTTTGGCTCTGGAGGTGTGGCATCAAGTCTCAGGAGGATGAAGTATGTTGCTCGATTCTGATGTCAAATAATCAGAACTCCAAGGCCACAGAATTATTGTGACAAGAGTGTACTGAGATATTCTATCTAGTGTGGCTAGTGTAGAGCTCGGTAAATAGCAGCGGTTCAGAAAATGTTTCTTAAAATTTGAATCTCTTATGTAGCCCATTAGTTGTAGATACACAAAATCACTTTAAGGCCTTCTGACTCGAATCTTTCCCTTAAAAGCCTGAAGCCATGGGGATGGGGAAATTGCTAGACATTTCTTTCTTGCCCCAGTGAGCTTTTGGCTCTGGCCCTAAACTTAAAATGTAGAGCAGGCTTGTTGCCTAGTGGCAAACAGAGCCATGTCCCAAGTTTAGAATCCATAATCCATTTTGTCTCTGCCTTGCCTGTGACAATTTGACCAACAAGCCCTTACTAAATTTTTCTGAGTAGAGTCAGTCACATCTTCTCCTCTGGTTTCTTATGTGCATTGAGGAAACTGGAAGATGTGATGCTGAAGGACGTTTCTTCCTTGGCTCTCCATCGTTAATGGATGTTGGTCTGAGATTGGCAACTTGTAGCATTCTTGTTCTTTTCATCTAAAAATATGAGGGTTTTGATAGTGAGCCTGTGCCACCGTAGCTGGAAATTAACGTAGTCTTTACCCAGGTCTAGGCTTCAGAGTGTTTTTTCTCACGAGGACAGTGTCACGTTATGGAACCCCCTATGCCAGCTTTCTGGCAGCAGGTGGTCCAAATGAAATATTGAAGGGCTGGGAGATTTTTTGATTTTTACATTTTGGTGTCCTCTAAAGTGATGGTTCTTGGCTGTGGTGAACATAGAGGTATTCTGAGAGCTGTTGCCTGTGAGTTCTTCCCGACTACTGCCTTTTCTTGGCATTTCATCATGCCCATGCTGTCCTTCTCTACTACCTTGCTAGTCTTAATACACCCGAACCTTAGTGTACCATCAGCAGCAACACCCTCTTCCATTACCCTGGCACAGAAGACTCAAACCAGGAGATAGCTGTGGGTTAGGGAGGATCTTAAGCTCTGGTGATGGTGAAGCCTTTGCAGCGAGTAGTAGAGCGGGGCTGTACTCCATGTGGGCCTGGTGACACAGAGACCGAGACCTTTGCTACCCATAAGCAGTGGTGCTTGGGGTAGGTTGTGGTGTCTTGGGAATTGACAGTGTTAGCACCTTGAGCTGTTCCATTTCTGATACTGCTTTTCTTCTCCCCCTGTGGCTGGTTTCTCAAGTATTTACAGCCCCATGACTTTTCTGTATATCATTCAAATAGGGGCAGGAAGAGAAGGTGGCCATTTCTCCAGAGTCCTATTCCTAGATGGTTACACTGTTCAACAGACTTGTTCAAGCACATCAGCTGGGCCAAAGCACTGGAGCAATTTTCCCAGAATAGATTGTTTTTATTTCTTCCCAGGCGCTTCCTCCACCTTTTCCTATTCATCTTCTTCTGTCTGCCCGCCTAAACCATCCATTCAGCTGCAGCAGCAGAGGTCAGAAAAGAGGAACACATGTAGAGCCTGTTTTGTTTGTTCACGTGGCCTTGCCAGGTTTCTTGCTTTCGTTGTCTTCTGTTGCCTCTCTTTCCAGACAACTTCTGGGGGTGGAGGGGTCAGGCTGTGCTATTTCTGTGAAGCTTTGATGGGTCCCAGCTGGAAACAGCTAAGTTGGGATTCTCTAGACTAATTGCATCGGGTGGAGTGAATGGTAGCTGGGAGTGCTTGGCCAATGTGAACTAGCAGGTGGGGCATGTTGGGCAGGAAGGTGTTGGAAGTTATTTAGCTGAAAAGGGGAAATGTGGGAGCTGGCCCAGGACTGGGTCCTTAATAGAATACAAGGCTATCCAGCCCTGAGCCTGGCAGCTTTCTGTTGAAAACATTGGTTTTGAGAGGATCCTTCTGGTTTAAACCTTAACATCTCAAACTTGGTTTAAACCTTAACATCTCAAACTTCGAGCCTGTGACACTGGTGAATATCTTGAGCTTCAGCTTCACCACCCCAAACTGACCCGTGATTTCTCTATCTCCATTCCTTCCAGCTTTAACGTCTCCTAAGCCGAACTTGATGGGTTTGCCCAGCACAACAGTTCCTTCCCCTGGCCTCCCCACATCTGGATTACCAAATAAACCGTCCTCAGCATCGCTGAACTCCCCGACCCCAGCACAAGCCACCATGGCGATGGCCCCTCAGCAACCCCCACAATCCCAGCAGCAGCCACAGGTGCAGCAGCCTCCCCCGCCGCCAGCAGCCCAGCCGCCACCCACGCCACAGCTCCTGCCCCAGCAGCAACGCAAGGACAAAGACAGTGAGAAAGTAAAGGAGAAGGAAAAGGCGCACAAAGGGAAAGGGGAACCCCTGCCTGTCCCCAAGAAGGAGAAAGGAGAGGCCCCCACGGCGGCTGCAGCCACGATCTCAGCCCCACTGCCAGCCATGGAGTATGCAGTGGACCCTGCTCAGCTGCAGGCCCTGCAGGCAGCCTTGACTTCGGACCCCACAGCGTTGCTCACGAGCCAGTTCCTTCCTTACTTTGTACCAGGCTTTTCTCCTTATTACGCCCCCCAGATTCCTGGCGCTCTGCAGAGTGGGTACCTGCAGCCTATGTATGGTATGGAAGGCCTGTTCCCCTACAGCCCTGCACTGTCGCAGGCCCTGATGGGGCTGTCTCCGGGCTCTCTACTGCAGCAGTACCAGCAATACCAGCAGAGTCTGCAGGAGGCGATCCAGCAGCAGCAGCAGCGGCAACTACAACAGCAGCAGCAGCAAAAAGTACAGCAGCAGCAGCCCAAAGCAAGCCAAACCCCAGTCCCCCAGGGGGCTGCTTCCCCAGACAAAGACCCTGCCAAAGAATCCCCCAAACCAGAAGAGCAGAAAAACGCCCCCCGTGAGGTGTCCCCCGTCCTGCCGAAACCCCCCGAAGAGCCAGAAGCAGAAAGCAAAAGTGCGGACTCCCTCTACGACCCCTTCATTGTTCCAAAGGTGCAGTACAAGTTGGTCTGCCGCAAGTGCCAGGCGGGCTTCGGCGACGAGGAGGCAGCGAGGAGCCACCTGAAGTCCCTCTGCTTCTTCGGCCAGTCTGTGGTGAACCTGCAAGAGATGGTGCTTCACGTCCCCACCGGCGGCGGCAGTGGCGGCGGCGGCGGCGGCAGCGGCGGTGGCGGCTCGTACCACTGCCTGGCGTGCGAGAGCGCGCTCTGTGGGGAGGAAGCTCTGAGTCAACATCTCGAGTCGGCCTTGCACAAACACAGAACAATCACGAGAGCAGCAAGAAACGCCAAAGAGCACCCTAGTTTATTACCTCACTCTGCCTGCTTCCCCGATCCTAGCACCGCATCTACCTCGCAGTCTGCCGCTCACTCAAACGACAGCCCCCCTCCCCCGTCGGCCGCCGCCCCCTCCTCGTCCTCCTCCTCTGCTTCCCCCCACGCCTCCAGGAAGTCTTGGCCGCAAGTGGTCTCCCGGGCTTCGGCCTCGAAGCCCCCTTCTTTTCCTCCTCTCTCCTCATCTTCAACGGTTACCTCAAGTTCATGCAGCACCTCAGGGGTTCAGCCCTCGATGCCAACAGACGACTATTCGGAGGAGTCTGACACGGATCTCAGCCAAAAGTCCGACGGACCGGCGAGCCCGGTGGAGGGTCCCAAAGACCCCAGCTGCCCCAAGGACAGTGGTCTGACCAGTGTAGGAACGGACACCTTCAGATTGTAAGCTTTGAAGATGAACAATACAAACATGAATTTAAATACAAAAATTAATAACAAACCAATTTCAAAAATAGACTAACTGCAATTCCAAAGCTTCTAACCAAAAAAAAAAAAAAAAAGGAAAAAAAAGAAAAAGCGTGGGTTGTTTTCCCATATACCTATCTATGCCGGTGATTTTTACATTCTTGTCTTTTCTTTTAATATTAAAAAAAAAAAAAAACCCTGCCCCTGTTATATTGTGTCCTTTTGAAGGTACTATTGGTCTGGGAAACAGAAGTCCGCAGGGCCTCCCTAATGTCTTTGGAGCTTAAACCCTTGTATATTTGCCCCTTTTCAATAAACGCCCCATGTTGATAGCACAGAGGAGCCCGGCATGCACTGTATGGGAAAGCAGTCCACCTTGTTACAGTTTTAAATTTCTTGCTATCTTAGCATTCAGATACCAATGGCTTGCTAAAAGAAAAAAAGAAATGTAATGTCTTTTTATTCTCAGGTCAATCGCTCACACTTTGTTCTGTTTTCAGAATCATTGTTTTATATATATATATATTATTTTTTAGTTTGTTTTTTGGGGTTTTTTTTTTTTTTTTTTTGGTTCCAGAAAAGATTTTTTGTTTTGTTAATTTAAAAACGGGCAGAAAGTATTCGAGAAAAACAATGTGAACTGCTTTAGCTTTCTGGGGATTTTTAAGGATAGCTTTTCTGCTGAAGCCAATTTCACGGGGAAAAGTTAAGCACTCCCACTTTCAGAAAAAAAAAATAACCCACACACACAAAGAGTGTTGAGGACTTGTAGCTTAAAAAAAAATAAGTTTTAAAAACTGACTTTCTGTATTTATGATAGATATGACCATTTTTGGTGTTGAGTAGATTGTTGCATTGGAAATGAACTGAAGCGGTATGGTAGATTTAAAAGGAAAAAAAAAAACTTTTGTGTACATTTAGCTTTTTGTATGGTCCAGCTGACAGCTCCTCATTTGATGTTGTCTTGTTCATTCCTAGCAGATAGATTGCAATCCGTTGATTCGCCTAAGCTTTTCTCCCCTTTGTCCCTTAACTCCACTTTCTCTTTCCTCCTCCCACCTCCCATCCTATAATCTCCCACTTAAGGTAGCTGCCTTCATTTCCTAGAGGGTAGCTGCAGAATTATTTTATAAAACTAAAGAAAGCATTTCAAGGGATTCTAGGGGTCATTAAGATCCTCACAGATTATTTTTGGTTGGGGAGTTGAAACTTTTTAAAGGCATATAATTCTAGTTACCTATGTCTGTTAGCCTTGTGCATTTATTTATCTTTCTTTTGGCTTGTACTCCTTGTTTGGTAGATGCTTCAAATATTTTTTTCCTATACTAAGGCGTTGGTTTTCAGTTTGTGTAATTGGCTGTGTGCTTTTCTCTTCTAAAAAACTTTTTGGTTAGGGGTTTGGTTTTTTTTGTGTTTGTGTTTTTTCTTTCCTCTCTCAGAAAAAGAAATTTCATGCTTTAAATAAAATCCAAAGACACACCCTTTCACTGCTGATGCAGAAAAAAGGGAAAGGGTTCTTGTTACTTGAGAATTTGTTTCTGATTTAAACAAACAAGACTTAGTTTAATAAAAGAGTAAAACAAGAGATTCCCAGGTTATGTGCTTCTTCTGCAAGCAGAGAGGCAACTGTTAATGACAATTCCATATACCAAAAGACACATTTTTTACTTCAAAGTTTTGTCCTTGTGTTAGGCAGTCTGAGCGGCGAGTGATCCAGAGCGCAGCCAACAAAGAAGCAGATAGCAATGTACAGAAAGCAAAAAAGGAACTGTATGTGAGGCACTTGTGTTTATGTTAATATCTGTATTCCTGTAACACACAACACAACGCGACACACACCCTTTCTCATCTTTTAAAAAAAAAAAAAGGTCTGAACTTTGAAAGGAAAACTTTGTGCTGCTAAAACATAGATTTTGGAGACAAATAGATGCTTTGCTGTTTCACTTCCATAGCCAAACATCAACAGAAACAATCTCCCCTTCCCCTGAAAGTGTGAAATCCTTCTCCCCTTCATTTTCTTCCTTATGTTTCAAAAAGGGAACTTTGAAGACTGTGAATGCAGGTTCCATTGGTCACCTTTCGGGCTTCTTTCCCCAGTGCTGAAGCCACTCAACGACTTTGCAAAAGACTGGAGCATTCCAAGATCTGAAAATGGATTTCTTTTTTCTTTTTTTCTTTTTTAGCCGGGACTATTTTATTTTTATGAATTTGTTTTTAGTTTAATGAAAGTAGATCCTGAAATGTTGTACATATTTCTAACTAGGCTGATGCACAGTGCAAATTCCTTTTTTAATTGTTTTTTTTTAAGTAGAAATACTAAAGAATACCATCTAACTATTCATACCAGTATCCAGTTGTAGCATAAGGTGTCAAAAGCAAGTACGCAAAAGATTTACTGTTTTAACATGCTGTTTCCTTTTAACAAGAATTCTTGTATTTCTCCCTGTGTTTGAGATGAACATTTTTAAATTTTAAAGTTGTACAGTTTTTTGTTTTCCATTATTTTATCTTGTTTGTAACTCTATGAAATATATATATATTTTTTGCCATTTAACTGTTGTATGTTACTCTGTGTCTGTATCATATAGAAAAAAATTGTTTTCGTTTTTGGTTCTCTATGTGATATCAATTAACAATTTAACACTAGCTTTACCTGTCAAATTCTGCTAGGTCTTCTCTGAAAACTTTGTTTTAAAAATGATATTGCTTGCTAATAGTGCAATTTCTGTCCCTTTCCCTCCCCCCTCAACCAAGTTCTTTTCTTTGTAATTTTGCCACCCCTCCTCCCCCCATGGTTTGGGGGTTTCGTTGGCTTTTTTTTTTTTTTTTTTTTGAGCTACTATGCCATCCTCCCTCTGTGAGGAAGAGTGACTGTCAGTGTTTTGTTATGCCATGCCTTGACCTGTGGGTGTGTTTGGCAACAATAAGGTGGCTGGGTAGATTAGCTAAGCGCACTTCCACCCACCGGCGTTCCTCAGAGGGGTTACGTGATTGTTTCAACCTGGAGTGGGTTGCACACTTAATGCTTTTCTCTACAACTCTACCACCCACATATATCTTCATTCAAAAGAGAAAAAATAATTCTCAGCACTAACCCAGAAGTAGCAAAGCAGTCAATGATGGTGAAAATTCGAGGTCAAACAGGAGCCAGTTAGATGTTTGTGGGCTGACATCTACCATGCCTATGACCGGTACCATTTACAAAGCATGAATTCACTACAATGCTCGACTGTTTAGCTTGATCTCACTCGGGGAATTTACTCCTGTCTGCTGCATAGTAGGTAGCTGGGTAGGATATATCTCAATTCACTTTTTAAATTAGTTCTTCACCTCCATTGACACTTCCATTTTTTGGTTTTTGCAAATACTCCGTAGTGGGGGTCGGTGCTGGACACCAGTCTGTCACAGCACCATACTGACCCACAGAATGGGAGTTACTTCATCCATCCTTCCAAAAAGAAATTTAAAAAGAAAAAAAAAAAACATACACAAGGAAAAGTTTAATACATCTAGGAAGTTTGTTTTTTTTTTTTTTTAAATTAAAAGCTATTTAAAGAGATGAATGTGGCCAAAGTTTTACACAATTGAAAATAAAGTAAAACAGACGGCATGTGTTTAAACCTGAGTTTATCAGGCATGGCAGGAAGTTGCAGGAGAGAGAGGCAGTGACCCAAGCCAGTGCACTTGATGTTCATGGACATATATTTTTTTTATAACTAATAAATTAAATTAAGACATTTTAAATAGAAGCATAAATTGAGTTGGTTGTTGGCGCTGAGATACTGCCCACTGTGAAACAAAGCTTTGACTAGTTTTTTTTGTTTGTTTACTTTCTTTAGGGGGGAGGGGGGCAAGTTTGGGTAGGAAAGAAAGCATAAATGAACGTGACCCTGAGGTGAAGAGGTATATGAACAGCCTTTGCAATGTACAAAAAAAAAAAAAACCAACAAAAAAAAAACAAAAAAAAAAATAGAGCAAGTGAAACCAAAAATGATGTTCTTGGTGTTTTTCTATAATGTAGTCTTGTTAGCTTTTTTGTTACTGTAACAATGCTGATCTCGAACTGTACCAAAATACATGGAGACTAACAAACAGAACCACATGGAACTTTCAAACTGAAAAAAAAAATTTGTCACAAAAACTTTGTTGTCATAGTTAAGTTGATTGTAGATGGTAATTGAATATACTCCTTTGAAAATATTTCATCAAGTATGTTTCCTGCTCATTGTGATACATTAAAAAAAATATGAGCAAAAGTTCTTGTCTCTGTTAGAGATTTTGTGTACATGAGTATGTGCATGCATGAGAGAAAGGTTGATGGATGGTGAAGTATAAATGTGAACAACATCTTGAGGTTGCATGTGCAGGGAGTACTTACTCCAGGGTACACAAGGATGTACACAAGCTCTTTGGTGTTACTAAGTACCCTTAAGTTTGGGCCATGATGCTGACTAGCTAATTTCATTGAGGGGGTTACCCTGACATATTGGAGAATACTTGGCCCCAGAGCACCTTAATAGCAACTAGATTTTTAATTCAAATGTTTATATGAAAATTTTAGACATCTGGCACAATCGCAAGCCGAGAAGTTTTGCTGATGGCCAGGAGAGAGAGGTTCAACTTTTCTGAAATGGGAATTGGATCTAGTGTTTATCACAGAAGGATATGAATGGTAAGTTGAATTAAGTGGATGACTGATTGATTACATTTACCTGTCCTAGTAATGGACTTTTCTGAACCTATGTTAGAGCAGAATTTGGGAGAGGAGAAGTCTGTACAACAGCAGTAGCAATAGTAATTTCTGCACACGAGAGACCATAGTCCTCTAGTCAAAAATTCTTACAGCAGAAAATACCTGAAATTCATTAATAAGGAGTACATCCAAGATCAGGCCCAAAAGCCTTCCATTCATCTCTAATTTACAGCCACAGCTAGTAAATAATTTACTAAACTCTAGCAGCTGGGCTTGGACAGCAGCACAAGCTATGTCCTTGCAAGGTCTGCCCTCAGTCAACAGGGATCTTTTCTTCCCTAGGACTTAACCTACGAAATCCTCTTCTATTGGCTCAGACAGCCATTGTCAA